AAAACTCCACCAAAATCTACATGCGATACGAATAATAATCTATTTATTTTACATTCTCCCATACTATCCTCAAATAATTCCAAGGCGATTTTAATTAATGTAGGCAATTCAGTCACTTGCTATCTTACCTATAACATGTTTTTATGAATGAGAAAATAGTTGATATCACTTTAACCAATTTAAGAAACAGGCTTTCGTCACGTATGTACATAGATAAAGTAGGAATTGACTATTTAATTGAGAAGGACATAATAATAATTTCCGCTTGGATATAGAAGTACAGTTATGGGTAGATAATGATACTAAATATAATGGCCACTGTAATGAAGTTATCTCATCAAGATCAAATAAGTAGTCACATGATAATAGGCAAAAGACGATGCCTGAATCCTAATAAAATGAAAAGTGGGTTGCATGAAAAGAGTTTATCCTATGTATTCTATGTGTAAATATATATAATAACTAGTCAAACTAAGGTCCTAAATCTTATCCTCTTAAATAACCTTTGCATTAACAAAATAAAACTTGTCCCATCACCGTTTGTATTGTTTACGATATCACCAGGAAACTCCAGACATCAGATATTTTAGTTAGTTCATCATCTCAAGTATGATTGTAACTATTTTAGATTTTGGGGACGAACAGAAATAGTGGGGCCTTGATTAATCTGGGGAGTGAGAAGGATAATCAAGTGTAATGGTCTAATTATTAATCAGAAATTCGTGGAAAATCACTAATAAATGTTCAACTGTATGGTTATCATTCATCAACTGTCTATGAATTAACATTCAGATAAAGACAGAGAAACAGTGACTAAGAAAGTAAGTGTTTATATACATTGGTAATGGTCGGTCGGGATATACATAAAATTTGAATTTTGCATAGTATTATTTTGCAATCACAGTCCGTGTATACATTAAACAGACTGGTACTAAGGTGAATAAGTACACGAATATATATATATATATATATATATATATATATATATATATATATATATATATGAAAATTTGTGGTATTGATTTTGCCTGAATAGGAATTTCTTAGAAAGTTTAGCATTAGGGAGTGCAAATAACAAACAGACTTTTCTTTCTAGATATAAATGAAAATTATTTACATACCATTTCGGTTTATGTTTAAACGGTATAGTCTTTATTTACATTGAGATGTGTGAAACGCAATGTCTTAAATTCGTCCACGTACGTATCTTTGTCTATGTATTTAGAGTGTAAAAAATTTGAAAACTATCGGTCTTCTTTTCCGAAAACAACGAGTTTTACATATTTTAGTTCAGTTAAATATCGATTCCCAAAGGGAAAGCATCTCAAATATTTATCATGCTACTTTTATGACATGTGAGTAGTTTGAAGAATTTAGTTCAATTTCACAAATGAGTGAAGATTTATGTTGAGAAACTTGGAGATGGGATTTTAAACATCCCAATAAAAAAGTTGGACAAATGAAGGATGAGCCAGCGATTTAACAACGAACTTGGATGAGAATCATGCTAAATTACAGAATTAACTGAAGTGAGGAATAAAGGGAGACTATTGAATTCTGACTCATTGAAAGAATCCCTATTATGCTTATTATACGAATACTTAGGTTCGATACTGATGTGGAATTAAAGATGCTTATTAATGATACTAGTCTCTAATAAAATCATGTTCATAGTAGCAATTTTTCACATAACTACATTGATACACTTGTTATTATTTCGCTAACAGATCAATTTCTTAAAAAGTTTATGAATAATATGAGATCACATAAATGGTAATAATAAAAGGAATAATAATAATACACATTTTCTAAAATTAATTTGACTCTATATGTGTATTAACACCACATGTTGCAAATACATAGACATGCATGTAATTCATTTGCGAAGGCTTATTCATTAGGCTTCAAACTTCGGTTAGTTAAAAGCTGATGATTGTAACGTGATGTCCAAATCAAAGTAAATGAATCAGGATTGGAACTTGTCACCTACTGGCTGAGAACAGAGTACTTTAACTGCTGAATTACACCCCCACTTCAACTCTCCCATATATATATATATATATATATATATATATATATATATACCACCTTTTCTCCCGTGTTCAAGTTGTTGTGTAGATCTAGCCTGGGGGTTACTAGAACAGCTTAGGAACCGAATCTAACATTCAATTAGAAGACTTATCAAGGTGAAAGGATGGGGAATATAAATGATTTCATGAAAGATACACTTAATCGATAGTGAACACTAACAACATTCAGTTAATGTTAATCAACATGATCATGTTACCAAATGATGTATGTAGTTTTTTTTAATAAAAAAAACAATCACAACCATATATCGAAAATAATTTTACAAGAATCTGATAACATTCCATTATCACATCAGATATCATGGATTATTGCCATGATAAACTTTGTTATGTATTAACATTTCACAATGAAACAAAAATATTTCCAATGTTATCTATAATCATTATTTGAATGGAAGTTATAAATATAAGTGAATGGAGCATAATTGACTAACTTATTTTAGGCAAAAAAACAATACTCATTTAGTAATAGTCTGTTTAAACATTCTAATAAATATTGATTGGAAAGAGAGTACTTTACAAAACAAGTTGAAGAATTAATTATGAGGTAGGATTTTATGAACGGATTTACAGTTGTTAACGTGAATCAGAAGAATGCTAATTGACAGATGATTGTATGAAATGATGCGAAGTATGTCTGAATGTTGATAGCTACTTACTTAATACAAGCCTGATATAAAATTAAAACACCGACACTAGCCAGGAAAATAAGTTTTCTATGTAATAAAAGGACGGGCTTCTATACAATATATTAATGATAAATATAAGTGGAAGTTATAGAGATCGAGAGGAAATCAATTTTGCAGGTTACTAACTGATCAGTCATTTAAGATCTCCATAATATCAGCAATGGACAGACTTATTCTATCCAAATTTACGAAAAACTAGATTCAAATAAAGGGTATCTAAATGTAATGAATTTTGTAGGTGTCATCTCGTTTAAGCTAGGTGCTTTAGTTATGAAGCTTTTATTGTCTTTTTAGACAGAATGAAGCATTATTAGGATTTCCCAAAAACTGACTACACATTTATTCTGATAATCTGTAATTCGAACAGTTTTCGTTCATAATTATGCGACCATTATTTGTATAATTATCTTTATGACTAAACCAACCAGTTCAGTGCACACAATCGTAAAATCCTCCATAATATATCATTGAATTCAAATATACATTTGTGCACTAGTATAATTGTTATAATCTCTTTCTTCCTATGACCCAGCTATTCCAATTGCCTAGTATTCCTGGACACCAAATCACTTGACAAGTCCCCAAATCAGAACACGGTTGAACAGGAAAGAGATTAATTCACTTGATGTTGTTTTACTTGAATCTTCCCATTGATGTTTTAGGACTGAAATTGATCAGTCTCTTATTGGCATATGTGCATACTGTGCGTATGCCAGAGTGTCTCAGAGTGAACATCAACTCTGAGATGCAGGTACACCCAGCTGACGAGTCCCAAACAGGACGAAACGCGCGTCCTGGATTCCACTGCTAGCTATATTCCAAATAACAAGGTTAGATGGAAGCAAGTAAGAGGCACAATAGGGAAAACGTCAGTATATTTATAGTTTTTACATGAGAAGATTCTAGAGTATTCTCCAAATATCGACTAGCACTGACTGGATAGGAATTAGCCAATCAGCGTGCAGCCAAGTAATCGTGCATTGAGCATGCTTTAATCCAGTCTATGTCCCGCTAACAATAATGGATCAGTTTTAATTTAATTCCTTTAAATAATGTATTCATACTAATAACATTTGATAAACTTGTCAAGTGATATAATACAGTTAACGACCAGTAAATCACAAACATCTTTCTAGTCTGTTTGTATTGATGATAATTTCAATGAAAATATTTACGAGTGATTAGAACGTTTCTTCAATAATGAAATACATTGTCAAAGAAATTTATGCTAATACACCTTACGGATGAGGGACAACGACACATACTTGTCATGGTCAACAACCAAGATCACACCTTTAAATTTAATAGATTCATTAGTAACAGAATCCAAGTTTTGAAATAAACAACAACAAAAAACTTTATCTCATCAAGGTTTTTCTTAACAAAATGTGTCAGAAAATGATTCTTTTTTTTCTGTCAATCTCAAATACACAACCTTTAAAATGAAAATTTACTGTTAATCAGAAATAACAAAAGAAAAAATAGACGAAAAAAAACACACACAAGATTCTGAATACTACCATTAGTGAATCAATCAATCAACCAGAATAGGTTTCGAATACAACTAGAGAATAAAATGTGAAATAGTAACCAAAGGATAATCTTTTCAATGTATATATATATAATGGTTATTTTCTGTAAAATCTACTTGTAGTCATTATAAACAAGAAGAAATGAAAATGAGACAAAAGTCATAAGCATTAGAACATACACACAAATACATAGATAGAATGAAATACAAATAATACATAATGAACAGAAGTAATAAACGTGTGGATCAGATACAAGCGAACACACAGACACAATAAAACACAAAATTAAATTAGGCTTACAAGTAAGAAAATTATATAGACCATATGATGAACAGTGAATTGAAGATAGTAATTCATTAACATAGAACATTAAACAAGTATTATGTTTGTTTCAAATGATCAAGGCATAAAGAAAGTAAGTGTAGTAGTCCAATTATCCGGTAAATTAAAATAAATCAATTTCCATAAGATTCTATGTGTGTATAAATATAAATTATATTAATTGTTTTGTAAGAAAATCTACACATCATTATATACATATTATATTTGCAAATATTATAAGAAAGAAATCAAACAGGACATATTCAATCAGAGATCAAAGGAGAGTGTATTCAAATTGTGCAATATGTAATCCATGTGTGGTCAGAAGACACACACACACAGAGAGGATGAAACTGTATATATATATATATATATATATATATATATATATAGCAAGTGAATCATAAATAGGCGTTGTTCAAATAAGGGATGAAGGAAAGTTAATCCCATTGATATCAAAAAAATATAAATATACTACTTAAATCTAAAAAGAATTTGAGATCTGATTGAATTCACTGGTTAAATCATCATCAATCCATTCTAAAGTATAAATCCACTAAAACACTAAAAATTTGGATGCTTCTTTTTGATAAAAAAAAACAAACAAAGAAGAAATCATATGACTGAATGAAATCTAAAATGTATGAATATTTTTTATAAGCAGATTGATTCATGTATACATTACAGTGGAGTAGATATTATAAAGTAAACACCATCAGCAACAGTGGATTTGTTCAAATTGTAGGAAACTATTTCAAAGAATGATTGAATTGAATATTGGTTATTCTGTAGGGATCAAAAGATAAATAATAAAAAGATGAACAACTCAATGCATTTGGTTTAACAGAAAAAAAACTTCACTTGAATAAGATCTTTCACAGTTAGACCCTAATCATTATGATATGTGACCTTGATTGATGTTCAAAAAATGTTAGTATACATCATAATACAGCACGTTTATCGTATTATATGACATGGTACATGGAATTAGTTACAAAACGGTTACAATGCAATCCATAATGCTAAACAGACAAATTTTGATAAGTTAACTAAATATTTTACTTTTTTTTTAAAGACCTAATCAACTGTGTATATTCCTCGTTCAAATTATGAACACTGAGTGTATTCCAGATAAGCATTATTGAGTTCTAACTAGGAATTGTAGCTAATTAGTAAATAGTTTGTTATGTAATTGTATAATTTATTGTTATCAAGCCTGAAAATCGATTTCAAAAGAATGTTTGAAATTTTTCTACAATACGATAATTATCACTAAAAGTGGAATTAAACACTACTTGTTTCTTAGTTTCTGTGTATTGCATTCAGTAAATCAAACTATTTGATTTAACCACATGACACTACTTACAAATTTAAAAAGTAGCGTGTAACTCACTAAATAAAATTAATCCAGTTAAGTCAAATTAAAGGAAAACGAATATATTTTCGTTGATTAGAATTAAAACGACGTATAATATTTTTAAAAAAACAACGCAAGGTTCAGTAAATTGTAGAAATATGCACCATACTTGTGCAAATATACGTAACAAGCAGGAGGAAACTAAGGTGTTCAGAACAACACTTCCCGTCGACTACCACAAACTACCTGACACTAGTCACTTAAAAATAAACAAAAGATTTTGAACATGTAAATAAGAAGTGTCATTACAATTACTTACTGTGATCTATTAATGTTTATTATCATTATTATTACCACTATTACCGCGAATCGCGTCAAAAGCAGCACCGAAAAGATCATCATCATAATCATTAGTAGCAGTAGTATCAACACTATCGACAGTTTTCATATTTTTATTATTATGTATCATGGTTTGATTGCATTGAATATGTTGTAAAGGTGTAGATGAAGACATTGTTGATGAAAAGTGTTGCTGTTGTTGTGATGGTGAGAGAAAATTATCGGAATTCCCACTAGATGATACATGTTGAACACCAAGAGTAGTGGTTGTACTAGTAGTAGTAATAGTCGTCGGTTGGTCTATTACATTTAAACATGGCGATGTCGACATTTCAGCTTTTCTTGAACTGAAGGGGCAGCAAGAAATGTGTAAGACAAAATTGGAGAATATTTTTTCAAGATCATAAATTTATATTATCAATATGTACAGAAGTAAATACCCCAATGAATAAATGAAATAGGTGGAATTTTGATCATTATCATACATATTTTTGTTGCATATCAACGGTATTTTTGCATTACCCTAATTGTAAGGTTTTACTGAGATCAGTATCCATTGACATATCATTTTATTGTCTATAAATTACCGCTAATTAATTATGTATTTACTATTCAGTTTTCTACTACAAATGACCCAATTATATACAGACTGTTATTTCCCATTTCTGTTGAGTTTTACTTTTGCAATCGATACCTATTATCATGTGAGTTGTCAAAATATACCGAGTAGATCGATTGACTTTTTTCGTGTTTTCGTAAAAGTGAGCTAATGTCAGGAAGAAGTTAATCTGGTTTACTTGAGTGACGCTATTAAGGCGTTAGCATACTTAGTAGGTACAATAGTTAAGCGAAAGTCATTAGTATTATTGATGTCAGGGGAACTTAATAAGTTAGCATGCCTGTTAAATGGACATAGAGAAGTAAAAATATATCTGTGAGATAGTCTTAAATATAGATTGCATACAGAACATCTTGATGATAACTCATGAAAACAATCTGAAATGTCAATTATATGAAGTCGAACCAACTTACAGAATCTGTCTAATTGAAACTGTAACAGTGAGCATTACGGAATTGAGTATCACAAAGAGACTTCGTTCGATAAATATTATAATGGACGGGATCTTAATTATGGTAATCAATTAGAGCGACAGTTGGATCCAGGTGTGGAAACTCAAATAAAGAGAGCTCTTTCTATTTTAATATTATTCCTTTAGTCATACAGTAGAGTCAGTCGGTTGTGGCCCGAATAACTCAGTGATAAGCTTCTAGACTATGAAGCTGAGTGATACATTTCAAATCCATCAGGGAACACCAGTTCTCATGAAATTGCATATACGCGCCTTTATTGTTGACGGTTGCCAACTAGTAAGAAACTTAAAGTAGAGCAGGTTTTCCTGCCAATTATCTCCAAACATCTCATACCAATGCCCTAACCAGATAACTAGATATAAAAAAACTAATGGCATCTAAATGAGCAAAATCACTCAATCAACTTGAAAATATCACACATACCTTGAAATAACATTGCCTACACTAGTGTATTCAATAGTTGAGCAACTATTTGCCATTGAATCAAATGATTGAGATATTTGTGACAAAGATGCTAAACTTTGTATATGACGTAAATTTGGAGAGAAAATTTTCAAAAATGACGATGTATCACTTGGACAACGTTTATGTCCCAGTAACTAAAAAGCAACAAAATAAACAAAGGAATATCGCATAGAAAAAACGAATGATATTTATTTAACACATAGAGGTCTCCATACTTGGAGGTTTAGGTAAAAATTTAGTTTGATGAAATATATTGACATACAATTAAGTTGTACAAACCAAAGTATATGGATGAGTATCATATTTGGAATTCTAATAGTCGAAATTATGCTAGTGCCGGAAGAAAGTTGAGGCCCAGCCAATCGAGGATGTGGCATCAGTTCATGAAGTCATTTATTGTTGGATTAGAAAGTGTTGGTAAGTAAAAATTATTAGGTTTGTGTTCACGTAATTTTCGTAACTGATTACTAAGGACATTGGGTGATATGACTCAGAATCAGTTAAAATAACTGAGATAAATTTATTCTCTGTGCCTCCCACAAATCATATGTGTTCAATTATCTCCTTTTTATTCAACGAGTTTACTATTTCGTCATGGATACTATTGTCTAAATTAAATGTTTTCTACTACTATTGATACTGTTTCTACTTCCATTACTTTAATATTTGTCTTGATTATTTTATTGCATTATGCTAACGTGGTATGACAACATGAATCTATGGATATATGCTCTAGGTTTTATACTATATGTGACTGATCATTTATTTATTTATTTGAACACATCAAGTTTGGTACAAGGGGGCATCAAACACATATACTCCATACAATAGTAGTGTATATCCACAATCTAACCACTAAGAACCGAACCCCGAACCTTTGGTCTCTCGCGAGAATGCTTAGCTTCTAGATCACTGGGGCAGAATTCAACAGTGTTTATGTCTGATTACAATCAATCCGTGATATTGCTCGACCATTTTAGGTCAGTTCGTGATTTAAATAACAGTTCATAACCTCTATACTGTTAATTAATTAGGATTATGACAACAAAGAACTGATAATTAAACGAATAAACCAAATATTCCTACGTTTTCTCTCATTTGTCCGTGAAACGTTTGCACATACAATAAATAACCTATCTAATGAACGTATATATAATGTAATAGATAAGAAGTGACTAGATAATTAGTTTATAGAGAACAAATTTCATTGAACCAATGCAGTAAATAATAATGTTACCATGATTTCATAAAGAAATATTTAAATAGTTTAAGTTAACATAGTATTTGATAGATATTCTACTGTATATGATTACAATTGAAATTATATGAGTTGATCATTTGAATAAAACTTAAACAGAGTTAATCAATTTAGTTGTGTATTTGGCATCGAGTAAGAACTAGTGAAACTAACCGATTGTTGTCCAAGCCAAACAAGATGAAGCAGAGTTTAAACCTGGAACTTATTGACTAAAAGTCGAATGCTATAATTATTAAGTTATTGATCTATAAACAGAGAAAAGTAGTATTCACAAAATAAAACGACTGACAAAAGACTATAGAGAAGTTCGTCTTTTTTTTAAAGGTTGAAGTTAAATCTTAGTGCCATGAGTAAATTTCATCAAACAAAAAACGAATACAAAGAACATTAAAGTAGTCCAACTCGTAAAATAATTCAGACTTCACTAGTAAGGTTAACACAATAATTAATGTTTCATTGAGTTAGTTTATAGATTAATTATTATTTATTTATTTGAACACATAAATATTGGTACAAAGGGGCACCGAATACATATGTACCACACAAGTCACTTGATTTGTGTGTGAGCTGTGATACTGCTCGGGTGCCTAGACTGAAGCAGATGGCTTTCTTAAGAAGCCAAATCCGAAGCCTTCGACATAAAGGTCTGACCCACAAGGCAGTGGAGCAACGTAAGGAGATGCAGTCTCATGGTAATCGGTGACCAACAATAGGTTCATACGCCATTTGTTCCTTCAAAATCCTGGAGCCCAATGGTTTGGAATTCGGGTTTTCCAACTCTCCTAGGTGGATCCTCGATATCCACCAACCTGGTTAAAGAGTCGGACATTCGGTCTTCGTTCTCTCAATTTCGTAAACAACACCCTCCCTGCGAGAAGGCAGTGAGTAGGGCTTCCCTGGGAGTGGCCATACACGCGTGGCAATGTGAGAGCACTTCGACAGGGAGAGAGAGAGATGACTCTCCCCACCCTCGGCCGTACCAGGGCATTTGGGGGGCCATGATTAATTCAGTTATGCAAAAAGAGGGTGTAATCAATGTGATACTATTAGACTAAGCCAGTATTATATATTTGACTGAATAGGGTTATAAGTTACGGTTATATATATGTCACGATCAATTTTAATTGACTTCATAATTTTAAAGATAACTATATAGAAAGCTATAAATGCAAATTGTACAAGGTTACATTGTAAAAATCATTTAGTTAATTACTGATTCATAGATTAGTTCTGTTCCTGTTCTCGTGGATGATTTGCTGATGATAGGATTGGGTGAAAAACAAAACAAAACAAGAGATACTCAATATATGAGATGACATTGTAATATGAAAGATCGTTGTATAAGACTAATATCTATCACGATTTTCCAGTTGAAGTCAAAGAAATTGACACAACTCAGCTATTTCAGAGATTATTAGATATGTTTTAGAATAAAAGCCAATAATGATACTGTAATAAATCTCTATTACACTATTACAAAATAATGAGCTAACCTTCCTTTTAGGAAAGTAACCTTTTCAAGATATAATTTTAATTCAACTATATCTCTTATTAAATACTACTTCTTTTCAGTTACTAACTGATTGTGCTAAACTTTTATCGTTCTGATTTGTTCAAAACATTATCGATTTATCATTATGATACATACTACCACTTTTTAATGCCCTATTATGGATCAAACTTTCAGTGCTTTATTAACTAAACAAAATAAACATGCGTTTTAGTTTAATAATAAATAAATTTGGTTAGAGAATAAAATACAAAAAAATAAACAAACACAACTCTATTTCACAGATTGAAATCATGAGTCAGTTGAAGCTAGACCACCATGGAAAACCTGGAAGCACTGGACGACCGTTTCGTCCTAGTATGGGACTCCTCAGCAGTGCGCATCCACGATCCCGCACCCCGCGGGAATCGAGTCAGTCAGTAACAACGTAGAACTTCGTACGTATGTTCAGGGTCTCTAACCACCGGTTGCTATCATCTCGCGGTCCCCAACCAGGTAGTCTACACCTACCGACATGACTCAGACTATTTGTCAGTGACTCCATGGACTTGTGCTATGTTCTGGTCTGGCCGCCCCTACCTTTCTTCCAACCTATACCACCGAACATCGCACGTCGAGGCAGTCGGTCGTTGGGCATACGTAACACGTGTCCAAGCCATCTCAACTGATGAAGTTTCACTACGTCATCAATTCATTTGCCATCCTTACCTAGTACCCGTTTCCTAACAACTGCATTACTTACTCGATGGCCCCAGGATGTACGAGCAATATTTCGAAGACACCTATGATCAAATACTAGTAACCTACGAATATCCTCTACTCTTACCGGCCATGTTCCACTGCCATAAAGTAGGACGGAACGAACTGCTGCGCAGTAAACACGTCCTTTGGTTGATAGACAGATATCTCGCCTACGCCATAAATGACGCAAGTTGGCAAAAGCTAGTCGAGCCTTCTGTATCCGTGCTGAGATTTCGCGCGCGAGCATTTAACCATTAGACCACTGAGCCGGCATCCAACGGTGTTAATGTCTAAATTCAACCAATCCAGGAAGTTGCGCCACTGTATACCATTGTCTTCAGTGAGCTGATATCTCTATTTGTCAACAGTTTTTAACTTCGTCAATGAAATTTAGTGATTCAAATTATAAAAGGAACAGTTGATTCGATATTTTTTAAAAATAATTCTGAAACTTGATATTTTAACATAAGTAGAGTTTGAAAAGCATGAATTAGTACTTTAATGAAGAAGTCAACAGAATGATCATAGATTAATTTTAATTAAGGAACTACTAAAAGACAGAGAACATTGAATAACTGTTCATTCTTAGTATAATCTCCCCAAGTAGTGTGCACCTACCTACAACCTTAGCATGGAATGAACCCAGGACATCCAGGTATTATAATCATAGTGAACGCTTAACCATTATAATCACTAAACCAGAATTTCCTACTTTAATCATTTTTGATATGATGTGACAAATCATCCAATGCTACTAGTGACAACTGTTTGACTTCGGATATAATTTTTTTTCTAAAGAAAAGTAATTAATATATAAGTAATCAGAGAGTTAATATTTCCGACTAAAATTCGATCAGCCTTGGTTGGAAGATGGGGATCCAGTGCAGATTATCTCAATATAGCTATTATAACACATGTCGACATATAACTGACGGAATTAAGCAAGCAATAGAATCCAGGACACGTGTTCCGTCCTATTTGGGACTCGTCAACTGAATGTACATGAATTCCAGAGTTAATGTTAACACTGCAACTCGGCAGCGGTACGACTGTCTACAAAACAGTATACATAGAGGTTTCAACAAAAATCCAATTAAACTCTATATAAAAATATGTGAATAGTATGTAACTAAAAGAAGTATTCACACCATACACTACATTTTATTGAGATGCATACAACTTACATTTGTTGATGGTTGTTGATTAAAAGAATCTTGAAGTGGCAAACTGATATTTTGATTTGACACAGTTAGTATATTTGAATAGGAAAAGTCGGCAAAGTTTGTCGTAACGGGATTATTATTGTTATTCATTGATGATGGTACAATCGGTGGTCTAATAATTGAATTTACAGTGTTACCCACAATTACACGATTATTAGCAGAGCAATTAGGTCGTGGTCTTTCTCTTGGTGCTACCGATGTATTCGTAATAAATTGATCCGTTGACTGATGAATAGATTGTTTCTGATCAGGTGAACAAGATTTATTTCGAATATTAACGGAAGGAGAAATTGGCCTGATATCAATGAATGAATGGGAAAGTTAAGTAATTAAATGAAGAAAATATATCATAATGCCATTTAATAAATGATGGAATTTCAATTTGAAAATAATTTTACAGCGATAGTAAACAAAATTTACAGTGGAACTCCTCAGTTGCATATTGCTGGATCCCAGTGTTGATACTCAAACCAAAACTCCAGCCCAGTCTCTTTCACCTTCGAACTTAGGACTTCAGCGGATAACGCGTTGAGCGTTAGGATGGAAAATTACTAGCTTCGATTCTTAACCTGACCATCAACATTGAGAAGCAAGTAAGTCTGACTGACGAATTCTAAGTAAAACGAAACATAAGCCCTGGATTTTTCTGCCAACCACTTTCCAACTCTACTAAAAACTTGCAAATGAATGGGAATATTGACGTAATCCTCCCGGATTGTTACTGTTCGAATAACATGGTCTGCTAAATAAGTTAATTGAAGGGCTTGACAAAAGTAACAGTAATTAAAATTAATTATGGGAGAGTTGCTATAGTCTGTTATTAGGCCTTACATACTATGATAGCATCGATCAAAACCGAGTGTATAAACTTGTACTTGGTATATAGGTTCTACTATAAACGTCTTTATTCACATGCAAATCAAGCTGAGTGAATTGTATTCGTTCAATGATATGAAACGGAGAACACAATACGTTATCGATTGATTGTTCGATAAGCAATAGTGGTAAGATGCATAGCTGTGTGAAATAGAAAATATGAATGCTTCTTCATTACTAGATTCTGTTTTAATAAACTTTCAGTAAACAACCAGTTATCATTGATTATTAATTCCAAATAATTGCCAAATTCACAATTGTAGCGTATGAATTGAATGTTCTTTGTAAAAATGTTTGCAATACTGTTGTTGTTTAAAGTGATTAATATGCTTTTTCCATTTAGGGGAATTTAAGTCTAACAAGCTTTAATTAACAAGTTATTAACTTGACAAACAATCGTAAATGATTTGATTTATACAAAAACGATGACCAATTTGAATTAAATGAATTAGTATTGAGCTGTTTATTGTTTTGACGGTGAGACCATACTTTATGGACGACCTTTGAGCGACGCTAGAGACTTTGAAAATGTCCACTTACTACGGCTATATGAGGGTTATAAACCAGTGTGAGGAATTAGGATTAATATTTACAGTTGATAGTTAGGGTTAGGAATTAGATTTAGGGTTTTCATCACGAACTGACATCAGCTATAATGCCGAAATGCTATTTAGACAAATGAATTAATTAATTTCGCGCCAAAATTCAAGACCTGTTATCGTAAATCTGATTGGTTCGTCTATTAATTATAGTCTCGCGGTTTTGAATAGATCTTTTTTTGCTTAACCACACTAGACTAGGTCTACATATTCAAACAAGATAAAAGAAAGTATAGTATTTCATCAACTAAATTATCAAAGCTTTAAAAAAGTCATTTATTTAAGAAAACAATCATTCTTATAGTACATACCTATTTTCTGATTTTAACTCAGATGTATGATAATTGACAGGTAATTTGAGTTGAGATTCTCGTGGAGGTACAATTAGATCTTTCCAAAGGGGAACTGGAAGATTCTGTTTGTTTGTGTATGTGTTTATTTTTCATTGAAAAAAAAGAAATAAGAGAAAAGTGATCACCACCACCACCACCAACACAACAACAACAACAACAAAAGATAACTAAGAACAAGTCGATAATCATATTAATCATAAAGAATCTGAGTTAATTAAAGTAAGACAAATTAAATAAATAAACTCAATAGATTTATTTTTGTTTCCACTGTTCAATGTTTATCATGTCGTAACATCTTTTTACACATGACTGATTAAAATAATTAGGAATATGATGCAAATAACCTTGAGATCACATATCTGTACAATTAAGAAAGTTTCATACACATAGTTCCCTTTATCATTTTGAAAAGAGCAAGAACAAAGATTCTAGCAGAATAACATGAACATAACACGAACATTTCTTAAATATAAACCCTCTCATGTAAGCAATTCAAACCCATTATGAAATTATTATCTTTTAAATACTATAGGTTGTAAGCAGCTGACGAGAACCTACGAAATAAAATGAATTCATGTTATTCTGCTAGAATCTTTGTTCTTGCTCTTTTCATAAGAAAGTTTCCTTTGATTAGACAGATCTCATAATCGATACAACTGTATAATACTCTACATTGAAAAACAAACAATAATTGACGGACGATAGAATGAGAATATATATTTTTTTAATTGAGTGGATTGAATTAAGAACAGTAAAAGGGGAAATGTGCAAGAAGATATTGATTAAAGAATGGATCTAAATGATTTAGGATGTCAATTTTTTGTTGGATTGATCAATGATAGAATAATTGATAATATTGATTTCAGTAGGTACATAAAAAATAAATCTGTACGAACCTGAGAAACATGATTTGGGGGATTGGTAAAACAATAAAATTGGAGATAGGTGAAATACCTACCAAGTGACTCATATGCTATTCAATTGTTAATTTTAAGTTTAAAGTGTCTAAATTACTTAAGTGAAAAAGTGTGATATCGCATCTTCGTGTGAATAGCAAATGGTGGATATGTAAGGAAAAGTTTAAAATCTATGAATGGTTAGTAGCTGACTGGTGTAAGCACTCAAACTATGGATTATTGAAAGATGAGTTTGGATCTCATTTCACCAAATTTGATAAAAGCAACATACAGATATATATTTCAACGGTGAGTACAAGATTTTGAGGTTGACTACAGAGTTGCATATCCGTTTGTTGATCAAAATACTCCAATCGGAATTGAAGACGAGTAGAAGACTGGTCATTTTAAGACTAGACTTACGAAGATGATGCTTAAATGATGAATAGATAAACCTTAATGAATAGAGGATAGTATAAATATATATCTTATCACTTAAAATGTGATTAGGTTAGTTGATGAAGATACAATTTTATAAAGAAGTTACAAATACAGTGAATAACAAAACAAATACATACAAGAGAACAAAAGATTACAGATTAAATCAAACAACAACATACACCTAAATTCTGAGCAGGATTATTTCGACCAGCAAGCGTGAAGACTAATGCACAAACTTGATAAATATCTGGACGTTTGAATGCATCCACACAAAGAATATAACCTGTGAGAATAAGATGTTTACAAAAAAAAGAATAAATCCTATCGGTGATGCAATTGAAAATAATGATAAACGTTTTAAATCCAGTAATCAACCTGACACAAACGCACATTGATCTAACTTACCACACCATATCAGGAAAACAAGATGATGAAATTTTCAAAGAAATTATTATTATTATTATTAATGGCTTTATTCAATATTATATTTTGGTACAATATAGAATTCTCAGCACAGGGTATTTCAACAAGTTACTTATGCAAACAAAAATAGTAACAAAGACAAAAAAATAAAGTTTAAAAAAAAATCTGAAAAACAGTACAACATTTGAAATTAAAGTCATGTTAAGAATGCAGGTTATTGGCTAGGTTAACTCTAACAACCTGTTCGTCACAGAGTATATTTGCTAGATAAGGTATTATAGAACATTTGTACTTTTGCTTGCGTGCATGGATTTTAATGTAATTACGTCTCGTTCTACCAGAAGATATACAAGGAGAAAGATAAGAGTGAAGGGGATGGCTAGTATCTGATAAAATGACACCTGCCAGGAGTTTGCATGATTTTAAATGTCTATCCACAACCATATTAATTATGACCTCGAAAGATTCACCACACACCTTGCTAACTGCCTTCAGCACTCTTCGCAATACAGCAAAGTCTTTTCTCAAAAGCCCGGGAAAGAATAATGGAGAACAGTAAAGAATAATAGGTAGTATGCAAGAATTGACAAATTGTAAGAGTAAATGACGAGTAATTCCAAGAGCATGCAATCTCTTTATGTAATAGGTCAGACGGAAAACCTTCTTCGATAACGATAAAACGTGGGAAGACCAAGACAGATCAGAGGAAAAGGTGACACCAAGATAATTGACCTTCGACACTGAGTTTATCAAAGAGTCTCCGATGGTACAAGCACTATGGGATCTCAAAATAGTGTTTATATTCCGTTTATGTCTCATGCTAAAGTTAACAGCTTGACATTTAGACGGATTAAGTATGAGACCATTACCAACAGACCAACAATCAATACGAGACAAAAACTCATTCATTTCTATGGGATGTAAAGAGGAAGATATAGGCATACATACAGTGAGGTCATCCGCATACTTCACAAAAGTGTTTTCTGTGGAAGATGGCAGATCATGCAGAAAAAAAGAGAATAGAAGAGGTGAAAGAACAGCTCCTTGTGGTACACCTTCATGAGACAGTAGAGACTCTGAACTCTTTCCTCCAAACACAGTGTATTGTTCCCTTCCAGAGAGGTAGGAACATAGCCAGTTGGTTATCCAGCTGTCAGTGTTGACGCTGATTAACTTGTTAAGTAATCGTTGTCTTGGTATAGAGTCAAAAGCTGAAGTATAGTCCAGAAAAGTACATCGAACATACTTCTTACCCTTTTCTAAGTTGAACACTATGTTGTGATGCAGAACTGCAACAGCATCTAAAGTGCTTCTTTTGCGCCTGTATGCAAACTGGTATGGGTCAGTATGCTCTTTTATCGCAGGCTGAAGTGGAAGAATTAATAATTTTTCCATGGTTTTGAGGAAGGGTGAAGTTATTGCAATAGGTCTAAATTTTACATTCTTATCACCAAATGCTTTCTTGGGTACAGGAATTATCTTCATCTTTCTCCACATTTTCGGTATGAGATTAGATGAGAAGGATCTGTTAAATATAATTGTGAACGGATGACACAGAACGTCAGCACATTTTTTAAAAAGGATGTTTGGGATACCATCAGGTCCCAAACATCGAGATGAATTAAGCGACTGGAGACATCCTCGTACATCAGTTTCAGTGAAAGTAGGAACACAGCTAGTTTTTAAACCCGTGGATAGAGGGAGCATCACATCAGATGACTGACGTACAAAAGACTTATTTAAGTCACTAACATTCAGCTGGTTATCAATTCTAAACTTTCTGTCACCTGTAAGTTCTTTAAAGAATTTCCACATACTTGGAGAGTTTTTGCAAGATAAGAGCTTTTGAGTAAACATACAGTTGAGACGTCTAATCTCTAGGTTTATCAGACCATTTAGTTTACGAACTTCATTTGAGTTCTTCTCCTTGTACATGCTTTCTTTCATCCTTCGTAGTCGTTTTAGTTGTGAAGATGTAAGTCGATCAAAACTTACAAAAATGGTTTCGGTGGGACAACAAATATCAAAACAGAATTTAAGGTAACAAGTGATAACATCAGTAGTGTTTTCGAGTGAGTCATCTGTAAATAATTCCCAGTTAGTCGTATGAAACATGTTTTTCAGATTTAGGATATTTTCTTCTGTGTAATTCCTATATTTGACTTTTCTGGTTTTACGTAGGAGTGTACTCTTCCCATGCTTTCCATATACTTTAGGTAGAACACGAATTATACAGTGATCTGAGCTAGACAATGGAGCACGTTTACGAGTCGCATATATACCCACATCATTAATGAAGACGAAGTCTAGATGAGCATCCAGACGGGTAGGAAAATCTACTGCATTTTGGTGACCTAGTGACGTAAGGAAGCTACAGTCACATGAATTGAAATCACCACATACAACTGAAAGTGAATCACTGAAGGCAGTAACAGCGAACTCAGTGAATTCATCAGCAAAAACAGATAGTGCAGATGATGTGCAATCTGGAGTCACGTAGATATTGGTCACGTAAACATATTTGTATTTATTCAGATGTTTTGGACGACATCTTAGAGTTAGACAGTCGATAAAATCATTTGAAAACTTAAAACACACAAACGAAGATGGACACCAGTTTATGTTTACAAACGTAGCTACACCGCCACCACACCTCTTTTTATTGTTCGATCGATCCTGACGATAAATTTTGAAATCACGTAGTGATACAAGGCAGTCATCCTGTAAATCATTCAACCAAGATTCTTGAACTGTGATGACACCACAATTACGATACGTATTTTGACTAAGTAAGAATTGCAGATAGTCCACTTTGTTGATTAGTGATCGGCAGTTAGAATTTAGTAGCTCGGGGATTGACATATGATTAATGTTCATTCTCTTTAACGCATATTGCCAACCACCACGATGCCTTTTATAGTACTTTTTCGTAACTTGTGCAGCGGAAGGTCGTAGGCTTTTCATAAAAGCGCCTGAATAGGTTATGCGATTAATGGACATAATTATAAATTAAAACAAATGAAAAAACAGATAACTTGTTGAAATAATCAGATGGCAGAAACAGGTAGCCCAGATATTCAAGCAGGCCGCCGATGTAGTAAAAATATTAAGAGTATCAGTAGTAGTGCAAAACATTGGGCATAGATAATATAGTTTAGGAAGAAAGAATGAACTCACTGAACAAAAAATAAGATAATCTTGGAACCCAAGATATGAATGGATCTGAGACACTGAAACAGATTCTGGTTCATATCACCCAACGTCTCTAACAATTGGCTACGAAGACACAAGAACTATAACCAGGGAGTTTGTACAAACTAACACTGCTTAATCCGACAGTAAATAACTTCACGGACCCGTACCACATCTTCGATCGGTCACCTCTTTTTATCTAACCTACTCCTACACACTTTTTGTAAACGGATGTTTTAATGTGGGAGAAAGATAAATGAATTTATAGATAGGTGGCGTGCAGAGACTTATGTTCTATTTAAGGTGGCCTTCTTATTACTAAGTTTAGAAACAAGAATTGTGTATATCCCAGTGACTATCTTTGGGATGAATAATCTTGAAGTTCTACCGCAAGGGCTTTGGTTTATGTGGACTAAAGCTAATGGTGAGGGTGGGAATAAGAATTAACCGAATTTGGAAATGTGAATAGTTGTGTTCTGACTTCGTCATAGTATTGCAGTCAACAAAAGACCTAAATAATCCTAAATCATGTAACAGAACAGTCAGCTGTCCAGTGTTTTATGGCCTTCAGTTAATATCAGTCAGTGATGATGTCGATTTGAATATGGTAGTAGCAGTAGAGAAGTTAAAACAAAGTCTTTTAATATTAGCCTTTCTGGATATACTTTTCTGTGATAGAATAACCAATCGTTTTAACGAATACATTAATAAGATAGGTTATAATCTACTTGATTTCAGATAGATATCTACATAGATAGTAGATTAAGTTGACAAACAAACCTACCGACATATAGGCACATTAAAAAGAAGCTCTAAACGATTTAGTTTATATTCAACAATTAGTAAATAATTCTTTGTAACTTTAGTTTGTATACAAACTAATGAAAAGTTGTTACTTCGACCTTGTATTGATTTCTTGATTATTTTACAAGTATGTGTAATTTATATTCATACGGATACAAGACTGAATAACAGTTCTCCAAGGTAATTATATGTTATTATGATATAGTGTGGTGTAATATGCTACGAAGCTACAGAATCAGATAAAAAACCATAAATAATTGCACTGGCCCAATTTCTCATACTACGTAAGTAAAGCGAAATGCATTGAACAAGATGGATTCCAAAGGAATGTGGTAGTATTGATTATGAAAAAGATTGAACATTGAAAATGTGGATCGAAAAGACAAAATGAAGACGTATGTATCAATAAATAGAAGAGCTAAAGATCTAGAGAAAAACAAAGGATGAATACATTTGCACTATTGCGACTGTTTATAAAACAATGTCAACTATTATTGCGCGGATCCCAGCCATTTAATCTATGTCAACATTGTTTATTTATTTAAGTGCATAAACATTGGTACAAGAGGATGCCAAATACATAAGCGCCACAGAATAACAATGAGGCCAGTAGTAATTATCATTTATTTGTATGAGGGCTGTGATAATGCTCGGGTGCCCAAACAGAAGCAAATGGCTTTCTTAGGAGGCCACACCTGGAACCTTTGACCTAAGTCTAATCCAAAGGCAGTGAAACAACGTTAGTAGATGCAATCCCATGGTAGTCGGTAACCAACAATAGGTTCATACGCCTCGTGTTCCCTTACGATCCTGGAACCCATATGGATTACCGGTTTGGAATCAGGGTTTACCAACTCTCCTAGGTGGATCCTCTATATCCACCAACCTGGTTAAAGCGTCGGACATTCGGTTTTCGTCCTCTCAATTTCGTAAACGAAACCCTCGCTGCGAGAAGGCAGTGGGTTCAGATCAACAGGTAATAATTCCAAGGACTGATGCTACTTTTTTGTCTGGTTTTCTTCAAACATATTTTACACCAACTAACATCATCCATCGAGGTAAACGTCTGTTGGGCACACTTATGTTCCGACAACCTTATAGTAGATGAAGATTCACAACCTCGTTAGTAAGAGAGTTAAATACACTAGACTTTCAGTCATTCATTCTCACTTTTTTAGATTGGGCGCCACCTGAATACATTTAGATTGCTAGGTATCCTTTTCTCCCATAAATGTATCGCAAATCCGGAGGATGCATAGATATGCAAAGTATTAATTAAACTGAGATGACTAGTGTTTAACAATGTACACATGACTATCCAATAAATAAGGATTCAGATAACTAATGCAAGTTGATTAAACTCAACACCATTACACAAGCCAGTGGGTAGCTAAGTGTATAATGAGATGGCCTTTAGAGTGGACAGTACTGGATTCGGGTTCCGGAGTGAACACCAACTCTGTGATGCAGGTACATTCAGCTGACGAGTCCCAAATAGGACGAAGCATAAGTAATGGATTCCAATGCTAACCACATTTCATCTATTCTATATCAAATTGTATCATATTGGTTTTATGGAGGCGATTCGCACAAGATGAACGCATATATGTCAAAACTGATCAATTGCAGTTCTCAACACCGATGGAACGATTCAAATAGCACATACAACATGAGTATAGCTGTACAATAGGTTAATAATTAATAACTTAGAGAAGGTAAAACATATAACTACAGTTTATGCGTAAATCGGGACGGTACAATAAGAGAAATATAGAAATACAATATTAAAAGTATATAGTACTTAGGCACTATAAATTTGAATAATAAATTCTTATAATATAATTTTCAAAGTTTGACGTTTCCCGAACCCAACCATGATCCATAATACAATGAGGTTAGATTTAAAAAACGTAAAAACTGAAAGGTGACAGTTTATGAAGAAATATAATTGTTTAAGCAAAAACGCTTAAAATGATATATTAAAAACTAAAAAAAACTTACCAATTAATTTATGTAATCTTTCAGAATATGGTGAATTGTCTGGTAGACTAAAATTACCTGATTGTATAGCTAAAATACTATCACCAAATGGTAAATTGAAATAGCATATACAATACAGCATACAACCTAAAGCCCAGATATCGATTTGTGGACCTAATGGAATTGATGAGGATAGGTTGACCATTTCAGGGGCACGATAAGCTAAAGTAGTATATCTAGACCATAATAATTCAAAAAAAAAATTGCATGAAAATTCATAATGATAATGTACAACAGATTGTAGACATGAATTGAGAGTTTAAATATATAAATCTATTAGTGAAAATGGTTTAAATTGTTCCTTCTGGTCAGCGTTATTTGAGAAAGGTTGCTTTCTACGGGATGGGGTTGCTAACTCCATGCCCAACCATCCTTCTTTACCCAGGCTTGGGACCGACAGTAATCCTTGAAGAACCACAGGCAAAAATCACCACCTGATGGTTGCCAAGATGACACTGAATCTAAAGAAGCACTGGACAACTGGACGAACAGCATCACAACGATTCAATACAGACTCCCCTCGAGATACTGTCAAAATCGAAAAATTAAAGATAACTCTCAACAGCAAGTTCCAAGCCTTACAACAACCACTCACAGAAGAAGAAACTATTATGTAGGACTACTGGGAAAGAATCAAAGGAGCACTAACTCCAATGTGTCAGGAAGGGTTACGCCACACCAAGCATCATCAAAATTAATGGATCTCTATTGAAACCCTAGACAAAATTCAAGAAGACAGCGACTAAAAACATCCCAACAAGAACAGAGGAAGTTAAGGCACAAGATGAATACACAGAAACAAACAAGCTAGTGAAGAGGAGTATTAGAGCCGGCAAGTAAAAATATGTAGAAGAGCTGGAAATGACAACGGAAAAAGCTTCAAGAGAACGAGATATGAGACAGCTATATGACACAACGAAGAAACTGACAGGAAAATATAGTAAAGGAGAGAAACCGGTCAAGGACAAAAACGGCAAGACAATCACCGAGAATGAATAACAGAGAAACAGATGGGTAGAACGCCTTGAAAATCTTTCAATGGATCAGCTCCATTGAATCCACCGGACATTGAGGCAGCAAACACATACCTTTCTATAAATTTCACACCAACAACGATCAAATAAATCAGGATGGCCATCCGACAAATGAAGAATGGGAAAGCAGCAGGACCTGATAACATACCAGCTAAAGCACTGAACTCAGACATAGAAGCAAATGTGAATATGCTTCACACTCTACTCAGGAAGATTTGAGAGGAAGAACAAGTACTGATGGATTGAAAAGAAGGATACCTCGCAAAGATACCAAAGAAAGGAGATCTGAGCAAGTGTGATAACCACAGAGATATCACACTACTGTCGGTATCAGGAAACGTTTTCAACAGTGTTACTGAACCGAATGAAAGATTCAGTAGAAGCTCAGCTTCTAGATCAATAAGCTGGATTCCGTAAGGATCGGTCGTGCACAGAACAAATCGCAACACTACAGATTACCGTTGAACAATCATGTGAATGGAATTTATCACTACACATCAACTTCATTGACTATGAAAAAGCATTTGGTATTGTGGATAGGAGAACCTTATGGAACCTTCTTCGACGCTGTGAAGTGCCCGAGGAGATCGTCAACATCATCCTGAAATCACACGACGGACCACACTGTAAAGTCGCGCATAGAGGACAGCTGACAGAATCATTTTCAGTGAAGACCGTTGTTAGACAAGGCTGTCTACTCTCCCTCTTCCTCTTTCTTCTGGTGGTCGATTGGATCATGAAGATTTACACATTTGAGGGGGAGCACGGAATGCAATCGACAGTTTGCATGCAACTAAACGATTTGAACTTCACAGATCACCACTCACTTCTATTTCATATACACCAACAAATCCAGGTCAAAACAACCAGCGTAGCATCAGTCTCTGAACCAGTAAGCCTCAACATACATAAGGGAAAAGGCAAGAACTTGCAACATAACACAGAAAACACCAACCCAATCACACGTGATGGAGAAACTCTCGAAGAGGTTGAATCTCATGCATCTGGGAAAAATCATCGATGAACAATGAGGATCTGATGCAGACAAAAAGACAAGGACCAACAAAGGAAGGACAGCATTCATACAGTTGGAGAACATATGGAACTTCAAACAAATGTCAACCAATATCAAAGTCACAATCTTCAACACGGACACCAAAACAGTTCTACTGTACGGAGCTGAAAAGTGGAGTACTACGACAAGCCTCACCAAAGAAGTACAAGTATTTCTAAATGATTGTCTACGCAAGTTACTAAATGTCCATTGGCCGGATACCATCAGTAACAGCCTACTGTGGCAGAGAACTAAGCAACTTCGAGCTGAAGAGGAAATTAGGAACAGATATCGGAAGTGGATAAGATATAACATCACGGAAATCATCAAATTGCATCCCGAAGCAAGCGCTAACTTGGTATCCCGAAGGGAAACAGGAGAGTACACTAAACAGATAATTGGAAACACACATGACAAGAACTGGAAAGAATAACCCAGGACAGGGTTGGACAGAGTGTTGGTGATCGGGCTATACTTCTTCTTGTGCGTCAACAGGTGTAAGTAATTAATGAAAAATATTATGGTTAGCGGTGGAACACAGAATTCGTGTTTCGTCCTATTTTGGACTCATAAGTCGGATGTACCTGTGTTCCAACATGTTGATGTTCATATTAGAACTCAAACCCAGTATCGTTCGCTTCAAACACTAACGTGTTATCCCCTCCTCATCACAATCCATCTATTCCAATACAAAAAAGTTTGGAAAAATGACTATATCGAAGCAATTTGCACAGAATGCACATATACCTACAAAGATTGGTCAAATTTCAATCTTGAATATCAACAATGGGATTAATTTAAACCCTGACTAATATTGATGCGAATATATTTTCATAGTTTATTTACCTAGTATACATTTTTGTATTGCAAACTAGAAGAAAAAAATATCTACCTAGAAATTTCTTCTTCACATCTTCCAAGACCATGAACACCAGGATGGAGAACACGTGAAGTTGCACTGCCAAAATCACATAGAATAAAATTATTTCGATCGTCAATAAGAATATTGTCGATCTGTCGTTTATAACGTTTTGTTGTCATTTTTCATTGGGGGCAGAAAAAAGAGAATAAAACATAGAATACTTTCATTATAACCTTTTTGTTGTTTGAAAAAAGAGAACTTTTATTTACCGGAAGATTTACGAAAACAACTTAAAAAACTAGTTACAAGTCAGTCAGTTATATTCAATGTATAGGCTAGCACTAATGTGTGTTCGCCCAAGTTCTCGTACCAAACTAGTGCAAACAGGTGAACAGTAAACAAGTCGAAATAATAATCACAAAAATGATCGTAAGAAAGACTAAACACTGAGAATATGGTATTAAAAAAACAGAAAGAAAAGGTATGTATGAAAAAATCCTGAAACTTGAGATGAAGAGTAATTCAAAGAGTTAATGCACTTACATCGTTGTGAACGATCACGAGCCATATTACTTAACGTCTCCAATCACTAATTGAGGTTGTCATGCAGACCCTAACTAGTTAATCTGTATTTACCAATATGGATCATTCCAACAGCCAATGATTTCATAGACTGACAATACATATTGGTTTCTCTGACCTTAGCTTTCTTTCAACCGGCTCTTACACCATCAAATATCGAGCATAGAGGTTTGGAGATTATGGGGAATACGTAATATATGTCTCACCCGCCTCAGATAATGAAGATTTACAACATCACCAACCGAATACTAGCCAATTTTGACTAATGCCCTATGCTTAACCTGAACATTGAGAGATGTAGAAAATTAATAGTTCAAGTGGATGATTTTGGTGGAGTTTCTTTGTCTGAGCTGGATGGCTTGGTCCTGTAGCTTTCTTTGTTCACCTGAATAACAACATCAAAACAAACTTTAGATAGAAGTGAAGTGTTAAGCTTGGCACTCAGATCAATCCGCAATCAACAAACACGTCGAAATTAATCCAATTTAACAACCAATCAGAAGAATCATGGACATATATGAGACCAAGAATCAGATCAAAGTGATACAATCAAAATAAAGCGGTAGATAATGATAGGTTAGAAATTAACAATAACAAATGAAGGTCGAGGTCAACAGGATAGAATGTTTGTCATATTTGGAGATTTTCGAATACCATACTTCTGAACTCAAGTTTGAGCTGATGATATTGTTCAGAGGAACACTGAATGCTTCACAATTATTCCATCCAGCTCAGAGAAAGAAACTCTACCATAACCTGAACGTTCTCATCCAGTTGTTTCACGAAATGCGAGACGTGCTCTGAAGACACTTACAATCAAAAAAACTTCGGCTCATACATGTCTTCTACTTTTAAAAACCATGTTTTATCTTACGTATTACTGAAAATCATACCAAAAATAAAGAAATAAAGCAGATAAGATTAATTCGGTTGTATGCATTAAACTATTAAAACTTATCGTAAAAAGTTTCAATAACGTTATTCAATTGTTTAAACTGTAGGGTATAAATCTTACATATCGTGGAAAAATCAAATGAGCAAAGTTATTATGCCAAGGTGTGGAGTAATGGATAAGTGTGGAGATTAAAATGGTTAGTCAGGATGTAAACCTTTTTCAGACACCTAACGAGTTGTATTGGTTTGTAAACATGTAGATTAGAAAACATAAAGGAGATCAGACAAAAGAATGAAATTACTTTAAGAAAACTTTGTCTTTTCGGCAATGTTAATTACACTAAAACTTTATAGTTGTATTCAGTTATTTTTAAATACATAGAATTAGTACATAGCAGAATCGAGAGGTACCGTATTGTTAACACAGTTATCAAGCATCGAATATAAATTGTTTATTAGTTTTAAAGGTATTGAATATATAGTAAAATGAAAGTGATGTATATAAGAAGTGTAAAATATAACTTCATTTGTTGAATATAAAGAAGATATAGAATAAGTGGGTAAATAAAAGTAACAACTGATAAGATCATTTTAAAATGGGGGATTGGAAATGTTCTTTTGGACAGAGAGATCAAACTTCAATGGATGAATTGTTAAAGCCCCTCACCCATACACAAATTTCTGATTCAAAACGACATCTAGCAAGTTCCCTTGACTATCTCAATCCGGGTGGCAGTACGTAGCCAGAATTGACTAGGTGTTCGAGAATAGAGAGCTGTTGACTGATTTGCATTCCCCTTTAGACAACTAGAAATGGTAGTTTTCGGATATGTTTGCAAAGTGCACCACCTTTTGTGAGACCAACGTAACCTACTCCACAAGGTTAGGTATACAACAGATTAACAATGAACTAGTCCAAGATGAAAGTTAATATTGACATATAATGAAATAAATATATAGAAATCGAAGTTTTGCAAGCAACAACCACACATAAATTTGTGCACTAGGTTGTAATATGATAATATATTTTGATAATTACCAGTTACTACTCTCAATCTCACATACACTGAATACAGAACAATTTTAAAATAAAATAGAGTTGTAAATTATGATTGATTTAGAAAACAACAACAATATTTATTTACACAAACAAACGTGGCCATATTACGTAGTAGTTTTTACATATACTAACAGAAAGCGAAAAAAATGGAATATAACGCTGTTATTATGTTGAATGGATGTAAATTTATACATTCCTTTCATTAGTTGATGAGGAATTTTGGAAGTTGATTTTAAATTGTAAATTGTGTACATTACAGATTGATACCAGTTGGGGAAATATTAAGTATCAGAGAATAATAGACAGCTGTTTCGTTCTATGAAGAGACACTGAAGCAGTGTACACTAACAATCATCACGCGAAGTCAAACTCAGAACAATCAGGTCTCAGGGTAAATTTTCAACTATAAGAACAACTGGGTTGGTCGTTTTGCGATATAGCACAATGATCATTCATTATCATTTGTGACAATTATTCTAACATGGCTAAATTCTACCATTAGTCATGACTTCTCACCAAAGATTCAGGAAGATTTTTCGGTTATTTTCACTCATGGTTTTCAACAGTACAGTGATTGAGATCAATCTGTGATGAATATAGTTTATGTATTTATTGATTCAGTAGGGAATATAACTTAGAGAATGATGTATAGTTAAGTATAATTGTGTAAACTCAACTATTGAAACACGAACACTTCTTGTTGATAACTGTATCAAGATGTGAATAAATTTTCTAGTTAAGAATAATTATAAATTCAACGGTTGTTTAGATTTGCATTGGATATTTTCTTACTTAAAAAAAAAACAAGGAACTAGTCGGAAATATGTAAATTCGGATGTTATTTAACATTATAATAATGAGAATAAAATGTGAAGGTATTACTTATGGTGATAAATTATTTTTAAAAAGAAAACGAGAATTTTACATATTCGAGGAACGTATTTTCAACACTTTAGTGATTAATATGGAAGAAGTCACTAAAAATGAAGATGTTAAAGATGAATTTCAAAAACAATCAACAGTTATTGACAGATACGTGACAATGGGACTTCCTTCTAAATCAAAGTAATTTATTAATTTCATTTATTATACAGAATGATATTGAAATCTTCTACGGGCAATTAAAATGTTAATCAGATTAGAGTTCTGATACAATTTATTGTTAGGTATGCAAAAATGTATTATACACAAGAACTTAATTTATTTAAGCGGTATTTAATGATAAAACCTGCTCTACTACTATTACTACTATGCATCTGATTCAAGAAGTTTCTCATGAAATATAAAATTCACTATTACTTTATTTATCCATTTTTACACGAGTAGTGGCTCAGTAGTTAGGACGTTCGAATTTTATCTACTAAGTCACAGGTTCAAATTCGGTTCCATTTACTGTGGTTTGTAAACAAACATTACCTAATCTTTCTGAACTCAATTCAACAGTTAACAATTATGAAAGATAACATACTTTTAAATCTCGATGAATAATTGGTGTTTTACAATGGTGTAATCGACAAACTGCTTCACAAATATCACTAAATATACGTATAACTTCAGCTTCCGTAAATCTGTGGTGTTGTTTCCGCTCATTTATGAGTTGACTTAAACTACCTTTGAATATACAAAAAAAGATGAAATACAAAACGAAGAGCTTGTAAATAATAGTTATGATTATTTGTTGAGTCGAAATGTTAACAGATGTAAAAGTAAGCAATCCAAAACCACACAGAGTAGATTGTTTTGTTTTCCTGATAAATTGACATGATCTAACTGTAAACTATAGGGATGGATTAGTGGTTACGCCGTTCGACATTTAAACACTAAGTCTCAGGTTCGAAACCTGCTCTACCTACTTCGATTTGAGTAACCAGGTAGTGTTGTTAGCTCTAACACTCAGAGTGTGGCTCGCACCCCAACCACAGAAAAATACAAAGTACTGAGAAAATTGATATAATGCGAAAGATATTATTCATCGGACTGAGAGTAATTTATGGTATCAATCTGATTCAACTATCTACAATTAATCATGTCTATTTTTCTGCAAATATTTTGTGTATAAGCATGTAATTTTGTTAGAAGAAAGACTCTATTCTATTGAGAGTGTGTCTTGTTTTCTGACATTACTCCAATTAGGGGCTTACACCAATATTGCGGTCTCGTGAGCAGCCATCGTTCGGTTGTATGGTATCATTAGTTGAGCAAAGAACGGGTGAGTGATCAAGAGTTCTATTCTCGCTCACTTGGTACACACAGGTTTTCGGTTGACTTTAGTAAAGCTTTTAAGGTTATCCACCATATTCCATTAAATTTACCACATAGTTTGTGTGTTCGTCTGTTTCATATTGCTGAATCTATAAGAATCCATGTTCACAAACCTAACACATTCATCCAAAAGAAGTTTGTACATACACTCTCGCTACTTTAGCCAACGGTAGAGGAGTGAATTTTTAGCTGAACTTCGACTGAACCTTTTCCTCTGAAAATATTTAAACGACTTTTTTATTTCTTCCGCTTTTTATTTTTACATATTCTCAATATTCATCTTTTGATTTTTACATAACTACTACAATTCTGACGTTTCTTCAAGATATTCTGTCAGTTCCTAGTATATATTATGCAAAATAGTAAGTGTTTGGATTTCCGAATAATTACTTTATTATAATTTTATTTCTCCTAATTACTCAATATTATGTGATCAATTTACCATTACACAATTATTACGTAACGTAACTACTTCATGAGTATTATTACGTTGTCGTAAACCATACATATACAGACATTAGTGTAAAGGTACGATGTATACTTTGACTTACCTGGATAATAAGTAGTCAATAACAAAACTTCATATATTCCTTGTTGAATATCTATTATTTTCGAGTCCACATAGCGAATAATATTTTTATGTGATAAAGAACTCTACAGATAAGAAATGATGTAAAATGGTAAATTGTAAAAATAAATAACATTAAAATAATTTCGAAGTTAAACTTCATTAAATTTTCTGGAAAAATATAGCAGTAGTCTGATAAATTTTATACGCTTTGCTTTCTAATCATTAAGTCATTTCATTAAGTTTAAAATTCATGGTAATTACTACATCAGTTTTACAAGCCAACTTAGCAACATTGTTGAAAAGAAAGCAGGAATATACAAACGGAATCATCGAACAAAAAATGGTATGGAATAATGATGGTACTGTTAAAACTGAAAAACTGGCTCCGCCAGCACTGTTGTGACTAGATAACCAACTGTTACGATATCTGGAGAGTTGTCGCTGGTATGTACGTATCAACTCTGTTGAGTCCCCAGTCTTACTCCTTTGAATTGACAATCGGGAACCACTACAATTCCCACTATCCAAAGCGATAACACGAAAGACTGATGAAATGAAGATTTATTAGCTCCTCAAAAACACAACCCTAAACAAGTCCCAAATTCGTATATCGCCCAAAGACTAAAATGCAATCATTTACATACCAATTTTTACACACACTTTATAAGACATACAGAGGGAAATACGTACGGTTACTGTAAAAGCACACACACAATAAATATAGTTTATCCGAAGTAATATAGAGATTGCAATTGTCACACTGAATAAGAGTTCACACTTGTCACCTAGAACAAAGTTCATACTAAATTGTTAAAAGAAAATATTAGCCTGTATCAGTGGTGTTTTAACAAATCTCCAATGCAATAATTGAATACTGAATATTTAAACACCATTGTTTATGGACAATGAGTATATAATAAGTATGATTACTTGGGGTATTTGACTCGAGTCCTATAGTTTATGCAACATCTAATTGTACTTCCCAATTAACTTATAAATTTATGTAGTAAGAGCAACATCACCAGAATGGGATGTTTAGTGAATTAAAACAATGTAAGCGCACATTTGCCTCGCACATACATAATCTAAAAAGATGCTTTCTAAAAAAAAAGAAAGGTGGTTGAGACATGGATTACTCTTGCATAACCACCACCAAACTTAATACACAATGCATACTGGTTCAGAAGTCAAAAGAAAGCTAAAGGGAACTGAATTGAAATATAGCATCAATCCATCGAGACATTGACTGTTGAATTGAGTCGTGTTGGTAAGTGAATATTACCTGCTTGAGATAAATTCAATTTTTATCTCCCCTTAGACATTTTGTTTTGGAATTATTTCATAGTCGTTTTACTCCATGACTTTATTTCTTCTCTTCGAACCACACTTTCTATATTTGATCTTTTTTACCGTCATTGATATTGTTATTATTTCTACCATTCTGCCATTTGTCTTGATAATTTTATCTTGTCGTACTGATATAATGTAGATACTTGAACCGATGGACAAATACACCAAGTTCTACCTTGTTTATGACTGAATACTTTTTTAAAGAGAAATTTTAAAAAATCATCAGATGTAATGCCGTATCAGTCCATTCTCTTTTTATAAAGTAGGCAGTCGATTTAGGCAACTGATAATCAACTACAGAGACTGTTTTACTTTACGATTAGGATACCAAGAACATTAATACATGCAATTTATATATATATATATATATATATATATATATATATATATATATATATATATATATACAAGATTTTCTTAGATCACATAGTTTTGATAAAACATTGATGAACATACACAAGTGGACGAAGAAAGAAACAAATTATTTCGTGGTCTACATATAAAAAAATAATGATAATAATCTTACAACGGAATACTTACTACAATATTTATCTCTCTTTTACAAACAGAAAGATCATGATTATTGTTAACACATGTTCTTTTCAAAGCGTAAGTATGTCCATGTTGAGAGACTACACGAAATACAACACCGAATCCTCCTGAAATAGTTAAAAGGAGATTAAAAAAACTAAAAATTATTTAAAGGCAAATGAACATTATTTAATGTAAATTTATAACATAATTTAGTGTGAATAACTATATTAAATAGTAGATACATTTCGATCAGCTTGTTTTGTATTGAAGTAATAGATGATGATGGAGAATATTTGTAACTCGGGATACGGATTTCGAAGATGTCATACTCTCTTAACTCGATGGTCTAGTCATAAAGCTCCCATTATTCTTTTTAGACATTCCCAAGAGAAGTAATCTACGTAGAATTTCTTCATAATTGACTAACAGCTTATGTTGACCTAAAATTTGGTTGATCGTTATCCACAATTGTCTGGATGTTGTTTGTATATATTTACTTTGATTACTTTCTTCCTTGACCTAATCTCTAACCTTACGAAGTGGAGGTAATAGTTAAGAGAAGTCTCGAATCAAAATAGAATAATTTATTAGTAGCAGTCTATTTAGAAAGTATATGAGAAACCAATGGATTGCTTCTACCCAGTTGCAAAACTCAGTACCATTTACAAGTTATTTTAAGGACAGATTAATGAAGATTACGGACCACATAGTTTACTAAGTCTTAGTGAGTTATCTTGGCACTTCATTACAAAATTTATTGAATTAAGAACCAAAAACCTATTATTAACCGTTTATATACCTTGATACACATTTCAACATGTTGTAGATTAGAAACAACTCATATTGAATAAGTAACAATACTCTTCAATCAGTTCACATGAAATTACGCAAAAGAGGCTTATATTAAACCTAAATCACGAGTATATCTTCTTGAATGATTATTTGAGCCTGTGAAATTGAAATTTTACGTGAAAGTGATGAGGTTTAGTGAATAAGTATATGTATACGTCTATTAAACTTTCATTTATATTTGTTATGTATATTATTATTACTGTTATCAACTTGTTTATTGAGTACGTGTTTATGTACTCGCCTTTAGGTTACACTTCATTATTATGAAGGGTAGTCATACTTCCAGGTTGCTGAAACGAAAGCAGGTGAAATGGATTTCTGACCCATACAGTATAGGTTAGAAGCCCAGCGCTTTGGCCAAAACGCAACCACTTCACCATCGACCACACGAAACCCACATATACTAACTATAATTTCCCGAATTAAATCAGATAACGTGAGTTTCTAAAGTAGAATATTTAAATTATGCAGGTCCACAGATTATTACACTGCAGATTGGTGAATATTGAATAATAGTAATAATACTAATAATAATAATACCATTAGTATCATAAAACTAAGACTATGACTTATATCGGTTCGACCCATTTAACAAGCATCTCATTTATGACTTAGACTAGCTTAGCGTCAGAATATCGATGATTCCAAATAATTTTTACAAGTCATATTTAAAAAATTATCACTACACACTGGTCATCGTAAACATTACTAACCCTGTTGTTATTTGATGTAACTTAAAGATTATAATTACTGTCAGAATGATTGAACTGTAATTTTGTTAACATTTGCATAAATATAAATTATACTCGTTGGAACTTGGCGAAAAACTTGAGCATTGTTTTCAAACATAATAGGTCAATCTCTATGTCATTCCAAGTAGAAATGAACATATGATTATTGATTGGCTTTTATTTGCAAAATAAAAATTTACTTATTATCTAATTGTCACAGTCTGAAAAATATTTTTTTTGATTAGTTACAACTGGAAATAGGTCATGGAAGTCTTTATATAACTGAAATAATTATTAGTATAGGGGTTGTGGAGATTATTAAGTTTTCGATTGTGATCATGAAACGATTGATGTTAGACCACCACCTTTGGAAACCTGCAAGCACTGGACGGCCGTTTCGTCCTATTGTGGGACTCCTCAGCAGTGCGCATCCACGATCCCGCTTGCGGGATTCGAAATAATCATATTTTTAAAATGATTGCTTCCTACCAAATAATCCGAAAAATTTTTACCGAATAATTATATTTTTCAACAGTCAATGGAATACTTAAGGTTAGCTAAGGTAAACCACTATTTTATGTATTGAGATTTTGTGGTTTGGTGGATGATGAGCACGCTTTTGGGAGTATTAAAGTGAATGAATAGAATTTCGATCAGTAGATAATGAAAAAGTGATGTGATATGGCTAAGTTGATATTCTAGTGACTTTCACAAGAGATTAGAAAGAAATTTTGATAAAATAATTCTGGAAGATTAATCATATTTTGTTGGAAAAGTGAAACTAGAATTTTCAGTTTGTATGTATTTTTTAAATACATAACTCAAGACGAAACGATGCAGATCATGAAATACACCCACCAGGATTGTAGGACTGAGAAATATCACCAAAAATAGCATAATTTGTCAAGTAATTGACTACATTAAGACTAAAAGATGATGAGACAGAAAAATAGATTGTTTGATTAGTTCAGCATACTCCACTTAATCTAGAGAGAGGTTCTGTGGCAGTGTATGTCATTGAAAGGTTTACCTCAGAGGTATATAAACCTCGCGAGGGCTCTGTACTCGAACAATACCAGTCGAATCAGAGCTTATGGCGAACTGTCATCTGATTTTGAAACCTGAAGTTGTGTCCGACAAGGCTGTCTACTATCTCCTCCATTTTTGGTCAATTCCACCACAGACTTACTGCTGGAAATAAAATTCTCGTCGACTGAATTCTCGGGTATTGATCTCCTTCCATGAGGTCCGCTTATCAATTTAGAATACGCAGATGACATAGTCCTGTTTGATGAAGACGCTGATATAATATAGAGTCTTCTGGTAGCACTAATCAACAATGCCAGAATGTTTGGAATGTGCTTCTTTCCCTCTACATGCAAGTTGTTGCTTCAGGATCGGTCTGCATCAACACCTGAACTAAGGATAGGAAGTGAAGTAGTCGAATGCGTTGACAACTTCACTTACCTTGGAAGTCTGATAAGCCCTAATTATTTGGTGTCTGACGAAGTCTCAGCAAGGATTCGAAAAGCTCGTTCGGCTTTCGCCAACTTACGTCACCTATGGCGAAGGCGAGATATCCGTCTATCAATAAAGTGACGAGTATACTGCGCGGCAGTTCGTTCTGTTCTACTTTACGGCTACGAAACATGGCCATTAAGAGTAGAATATACTCGTAAGTTACTAGTATTTGACCACAGATATCGTAGAGATATTGTTAGCCTCTGTTGGGATCACCGGGTAAGTAATAGTGAGGTTAGACGCAGGGTATTAGTGAATGATGGTAAATCAGTTGATGAGGTTGTGAATCTTCATCGACTGAGATGGTTGGGCCACGTGTTACGTAGGCCTGAACACCGATTACCACGACGTGCAATGCTAACCGGTGTTGGAGATCGTTGGAAGAAAGTTAGGGGCGGCCAAACCAGGACGTGGAATCAGTGCTTGAAGTCACTAACTTCTAGTCTGAGTCATGTTGGTAGATGCAGACTACTTGGTTGGGGTCCGCGTGACTATCGTAACCAATGGTTGGAGACTCTTGGTGACATGGCTCAGAATCGATCTCAATGGCGTCGGTGTATACACTATCTATCTGGCCTTAAACTAAGAGATTAAAATCGATTCATATCTTTCTTTCTACGAACTAATTCTTTCTTCCTGTACTATATCCTTATATGCAATCTTTCTTTTATATATTACCACCATTGACTTAACCGCTCCTATGAATCCGGTGTCCATCTTTTTGTGTTAATGAGGTATAGCAACTTGGACCGATGCATATATGTGCCTGGTCCTAAGTTGTAAATGACTGACATTACTGACTGATATTAACTGAAAGCCATAAAACATTGGATAGCTAACTATTCTGTTACATGATTTAGAATTCTTTAGGTCCTTTGTTGACTACAATACTATGACAAATTCAGAACACAACCATTCACATTTCCAAATTCGGTTAATTCTTATTCTCACCCTCACCATTAGCTTTAGTCCACATAAACCAAAGCCCTTGCGGTAGAACCTCAAGATTATTGATCCCAAATATAGTCGAGAATCGATCACAATGGTGTCGGTGTATGCACTCTTTGTCTTCCCTTAAACCATGAGATTGAAATTGCTTTATATTTTTCTTTCTACGAACTAATTCTTTCTTCCTGTGCTATATACTTATACACAATCTTTCATACTTTACTACCATTGACATGTTCTTCCATTTCAATCCTATTTGAACTTAAGTCAACGTGGGAATTATGCGTCGTAGATGACTGACTTAGTCTAGAAAGCTTTTAGATGTTTAAGTGAAAGCCACACCTAATGCTCTGAAACATAGGTAAAGAGAAGAAAAAGATCGAATATCCTACAATTTCGAGAATAAGATGGATGAATCAATTATGCGTTTGACTGCTAAATAGTGGGGCATACTATACTATTAATCCAACAACGAGGTATGACGTAGCTAAACACCACGGAGATACTACATAGCTTTTCGATTCCCAAGCACCTGACGTTCATAATGACCCGTCTCCGTGATAGGAAGACAGTTCTTGTCTACCTCAACAAGTCTTGAAGTAATGTGTCTCGCGACGCTTGACTACACCGTTTACCGACCCTGTTTTTCATAGGTTGTGGGTGACTAGTCCTTTTTCCTACTAAGTTAAAGCTTCAAGATAACCTTCAATTCATTTGTGAGCTTTTTTATCCACTTACCCTTTCGTGGTTTACTGTTTCCTATTGCTTATATTTCTTGTTTCCAGATATTTGACATGTCTTATTAGGACTTAATTTTTAAAGGTTTTTCGACGTCATGGTTTTTGATGAGTCTGAAGCTGATACTGAAGTCATTTATTTATTTTAACACAAAGATAATGGTACAAGAAGACACCAAATACATATGCGCCACACAGATCTCATTTGACATGTGTGAGGGCTGTGATACTGCCCGGGTGCCCAAACCGAAGCAAGTGGTTTTTTTAGGGGGTTACACTTAGAGCCTTCTACCTCAAGGTCTGATCCACAAGACAGTGGAGCAACGTGAGCAGATGCAGTCCCATGGTAGCCGGTGACCAACGATCGGTTGATACGCCGTTTGTTCCATCAGGATACTCGAGCCCATGTGCATCATTGATTTGGAATCAGGGTTTCCCAACTCCACTAGGTGGACTCTTCATGTCCACCAACCCGGTTAAAGCACCGGACATTCGCTATTCGTCCTCTCAATTTTGTAAACAACACCCCCGCCACGAGAAGGCAGTGAGTAGGACTTCCTTGGCAGAGGCTACATACGCGTGGCCATGTGAGAGCATTTCGAGAGGGAGAGCGGACCCTCCCCAGGGCATTTGGGGGCATAATACTGAAACTGTTCACGAATGTACACATGTGACAATTGGAACAGATATCTTAAAACAACTAACAGTAAGTTCATTTTGACATATAAAAAATTAAGTAACCAAGCTTAGGTTTGGATACTTAGATTTGAGAGTTAATGATCCCACTAAGCTATGAAAAGAGGGTTGCTGAGGTTCCAAGTTGCCAAACCAGTGGACGGAAGTCCAATATTTCCCAAAACCCCGACAACTGTGACGCAATAGTCTTGTGATGCAGTTTTGTGCTACAACAACAGATGGATTAAGTAGTGTGGTTGTGCAGTGTGCTAAGAATAAAGTTAACAAAATAAGTTACAAGGTGCTTTTCGCTCCCAATTGACTAGTTTTGACGAGGTGGCTAAGATTTGGTTTCATCAAGTGTACTTGGTACACATTAGGCTAACAGAAAAGTTAGAAATTTAATAACTGGACAGTTGTCACACTTATTGTCACATTCTCCATTGAATAGCTCGGTAAAATGTTCTTTCAGGAGGGTTTCAAACTACTTTAAAAGCATCTAAGTAACCAAGTTTTAAAACAAATATAATGTAGGAATATCTGGTAAAAACATTAATATTACAGTTGCCCTGCATCGAAGGCAATACAATAAAGACGAATCAGTGCGAAAAGCAAAGGATCGAAAGTAGCAATACTAACAGAAATAATAGGCTAAAATAAAGGAAGCCGAACTAAGGGAAATAAATACAGTTGTGGGATGAATTGTGTGGAAAGATACTATTTCAACGAAGTACCTAGTGTATGTAGGTTTGGAGCCCATATGTTGTACTTGACCGTGAACTGGTGAAAGGTTTTTTTTATATACACGGCATAAATACCATACTTAAACATTGAGGTCGAAACTGAGTCGTCGCTGCTTGTCGAACTTTCAGGACTAATATGTGCCACCTTATCTCCTTATTCTTAAATATATGAGTTGGGTTTCGAATGACCATACATCGGTCTCAGTAGAAAGGTATTTTTCAGAAGATTAGTATCGTAATCAGACTCTCGTAGCAATACACTGATACCCTTTGGAATGATAAGTACTATTACGCATTCAACGATAGAAACACTGTTAGATTATTTGTTTTACTCCCCACAGGAGACATACATATATGCATTGGTTTTGGACATAAGGATGCTATAAAATCTTGACCATTTGCAATGTTTCTCAAATGTCCTAACTTTATTCCACATGGTACTATTATCATTTCAGAGATTTAGACTAGCTAGCATATATCTTCAAGTACTTAATCCAAGAATCTCGCTACATAAATAAATTTGACTGGTTATAATAGCATTTTTGTGAGCTCGGGAAATTAACTGACCTAAACATGAGCGTCAAGAAAGTCAAGTGCCCCCTCTATTATTGATCACCATTTATAAGACAATCATACATTGGTAATCGAAACAATCTGAAAATTAAAGTCCTACCTTCAGCAATAACCGACTCCACAACTAGTGTAAAACTACCCACCCTAAAATTACGCCCGACAGCAGCAAGATGTGGTCCTTGATGATTACCAAGATTGTTATATGATGCAAATCCTTCATCAGAATCCCCTTGGGCAAGGCGTGCTAATATTTTTTTCATTCCTGGAAGAAATAAATCCCGATAAGTGTAAGCCGACAACACCACCGCGCATATTCCTCTGTGACTTAAAACGACCAAACAGCTGATGTCTATTTCCCAATCCAAAGATCAAGGTCGTGTTTTCAAAGCATTGTCCAATAATATTAATTGCCTCAATGACTATCTAAAATGCCCAAAAGTTGCGGAAAAAACCGTCAAGAACCGAAGAAATGATTATTTGGCAAGGCAATAGGCTGCGATAAAATTCACCCAGATATCTAATATGGTTCAAATGGTTGTGGTCGGAATAGAAGCTTTCGCTTAACAGGCTTCCGTGTCTAGTAGCAAGGAATCGCGAATACTTCCAGACAGGAACCTATGTTTACTAACAATAATAGAGGAAAAAGAAATTGGTAAATCATAATAACATGTTATCCTTAGTCCTTTATAATAGGTCAAGTTTAACCTTAATGGACTCATGGGAAGTCGCTTGGACTAGTTCAGTCGGCAGCGAATTCCAGTATTCGACAACTCTTAAGGAGTAAAAGTCGTGTCTACAATCCGTTATGCTATGTTGTATCTCCAATTTCTGGGTGTTTCGCCCTAGGTTTATATTGGTACTAAGCTTAAGTAGATGCTTAAGGGGATGTCCAGAAGTTTTAAGGATAATGTAGGCCTTCAGGTCTCCTCTAGGACGCTTATACTCTAATGGGTAAAGGTTGGGTGATTGGAGGCGCTCTTCATAAGGTTGGAATTTGAGTCCCTGAACTGACTTCGTGACTCGCCGTTGGATACGCTCCAGATTGTCCTTATCCTTTTTGAGTGGGGGAGGAAAAACTATGTTTCCGTACTCTAAATGGGAACGGATAGAACTGTTGAAGATTATGTAGAGAGTTCTACCGTCGAACTGGCCAAAAATGCGCTTCGACATTACCAGTGCAAGGTTTGCTTGGAAGGCATTTTTGTCACAGTTAGCGTAAGACGTCAAATCGTAAGACACCAGGACTCCTAAATCTTTTTCGACTCGGAACACTACTAGAGAGGAGTTTCTTAAGTTGTAACTGTAGTCTGAAACATATCGCAGATGGACTACTTTACACTTTAAAGTCTTAAAGGCAAGTTCATTATCGTCTGCCCAACTTTGAAGTCGAGTAAGATCCTCCTGAGGTGCCTGTATATTCTCTTGGTTGCGTATCCCTTTCCCAAGGTTCACGTCATCAACAAAGTGTTATAATTCTGACGATACCTGTTGTGAAAGGTCATTTATAAAAATTAATAAGAGAAGAGGTCCTAGTACTGAGCCCGGGGGGACCCCACTAGGACATTCCATAGTCTGAGATAAAGTGAAGTTAACCCTGACCTTAGAATGTCAATTTTTCAGATATGAAATGAGCCAATCAATCAGAGGTGGTTTGATACCCAATCGTCTCAGCTTATTGATAAGACACATATAATTGACCTTATCAAAAGCTTTTGCGACATCAAAATAAATGATATCAACCTTCCCCTTGCGATCAAGGATGTTTGTCCATCTGTACACTGCAGTCAGTAGGTTGGTTATACAAGAATAACCCTTCCTGAAATCACGCTGTTGGGGTGAGAAGAAAGTTAAGGACAGTAAATAGTCATGTATACCATTGCATATCAGGGACTCCATGATTTTCTAAGGTATAGAGAGAAGAGCCACCAGTCGGTAACTTGAAGGTTTGCTGCGTCGACCTTCTTTGGAAATTGGTGTGATGTGAGCCAGCTTCCGAATTTCCTACACATAGTTCCCTTTGTTATCTTAAAGAGAGCAAGAACAAAGATTGGTGCAGAATAATATGAATTCATTTTATTTCGTTAGGTTCTCATCAGCCACTTGCAACCTAAAATATTTGAAATTCAACATTATTACAGATATTGACATACTTATACATAAGAGAGTGATTATGGATGAATAAATGTATCATGGTGTAGCGAAGATCCTGACAGAGTTAATGAGGTCATAAAATTTTGTTTCGAATAAATAAAGTTTGAGAAGGAAGGTTCCTGAACATCGAAATAGTGATTAAAACTCATGAAAATAGATCAATGGTGATAAAGAAAATATGAATTGAAATCAGTCAGTTGTGCATGATGTAATTTAAACTTCAGAAAGAGTTGGCATCGGCCTCAACTTAGCAAAAGTGAGAACATCACGCCAAGCGGTCTTGCCAGGGTTGAAGCTGCTTCCCTCAGTATAGCAGAATGAATCATATCTGGGCCACGAGAAGTGCCTTTTCTTAGGTGCTTGAGTTTTCGGAACATTAAGACAGCGCTCAGGTTCACTGCGGATAGACCTGTGCAGTTGCAGATGAAGTTGTCATCAGCACAGTTGATGTGAGTCCGTTGAAATATCCGAGAGTATTGTTCAGCCAAAAGTTTAGCCGCGTCGCAGTTTTATTGGTCGTGCCATTATGGCCTAGCAGCTGGGAAACTCCAGTTTGGGCTTGACGAAGAGGGACTGCAGAACGGAATAAGCTTTTCGGAATGGAGACGAACTTATCCATAAGCTTTGTCTCATACTGAAGCCTGTCTACTCTTATAGCCTTCATGCATATGTTCCTTATATGCTTGTATTGCCTGTACGCGCCGTTGTTGTCAGTTCGTTTGTATTTTGCCCAACAGTGCCTTGAAATTCTTCGTTTGTAAATACCCAGTCTAAGCGCGAGGGTATCTGACCGTTCACATTTTCGTATAATCCCAGATAATCAATGAGGTTGAAGAACCGAGATTCAGTTTAGTTTTCGCCCCCAATATACGCATTTTCCGCAAAACTGACTCTAGGGAGATTGAAGTCCCCTAGAATCAGAATATGAGTGAAACCGAGAGCGGGATAGTCTTTCCAGCATACGACTGTCATACGAGTATGACAATAGGCTTTCTATAGATGACCACAACTAGGCCCCTCGAAGTAGTAGACAATCTTACAGAGTACCATACAGATTCATCAAGATTGTTAAACTCATGGTTGTTGAGTTGGTGTACCTACAAGCAGGATCGTATGTATACGGCTACTCCACCCCCAGTTCCTTTTTTTCTGTCGTTGCGAAACAAAGACATCCCAAGTATTGTTAGCTCCTGGTCCGTAAACTGAGAAGATATCCAAGTTTCAGATATTTCTATAAGATGAGCACTATTAGCATTGCTAAGTCCACTTAGCTCATCCATTTTATTTGGTGATCTCGCAGTTTTCATGTATAAACAGTTTATGCCCTCAATTTGAAACGCGTGAGCTTCTTCCTGTTTGTCTGTACGAGCCTTATGTGAATGGACAGGTAGCCTACCTATATAAGGTTTGCCAAGTTGGAAGACCTGTGTTTTTTATTGATCAAGACAGTCCGCAAGTAGAATGGTCAGCTCCAGTTTGCCTTTGTGATTGATCCTGGCGTCGTGTGACCTATCCGGGTGCATATGGATTCCATTAGACAACCGACGTCTGTTGACACGAAATTCTTCCAGAGTTGTAGCCATCATATTGGAGGATGGGAAAGTTATCCTCATTAGCCGGGTCTAGAATCACCTTCATTCTTGGCTAGCCTCGTCACATGTTGACCCAGTATGTTTTCGAGCCTCAAGGACTCCTTGACGAATTTCCATTCCCTAATATCAGAGTTTGCTTGACTAGGGTCTGTATTTTCCGGCACACCTTGCACAATGATATTTCTTCATCGGAAAAACTAGCGAGATTCTTTATGGATGTTTCGGATGAGATTGCGCTCAGAATACGGTATTTCGGGTAGTGTTTTTACGTTCCCATCGGATTTCAGTAAATGACTAGCTAGTAGGACATCCTCTACGTCGGTAGCATCCTTAAGTTTTACACGAAGTAGCCTCGTGCGATTTTGATGCTTAGATTCCTTTCCCCGAGTAAGCAGTGTGACCGTCAAAGGCTCTATTCTAGAAAGTTTAAGCTTCTTGTCCAATTCTCCTCAGAGCATCCTGTCATTTTTATCCTTTAAAATGAGAGGAAGGTCAGAGTTATCTTTGAGGTTCATGATCATGAGAGGGTCATCACGAACCCTTATTGTTTTCCCAGGTCTTCTGCTCCTATCAGGTTCAGCACCTTGTTGTTTGGAGGTTGAAGCACGTTTCTGAATCCTAGGCTCTTTGATGACCGAACAGACACTTCCAGGGTTGACTGTGCGATAAAATCACCATTTGACTTCCATTCAACAGCTGAGATGTTCAGCTTGGACGGTGACGCCTGGTACTTTTTAACTCTGTTAGCGTGAGTCCAATCTCCTACACAGATTTTGGGAACCACTGTTGCATTCAAGAACCCTGAGCTGGGAGACCCGAGTTTGCTGAGGGAGTCTATTGCCGTCGACTTTTGGATGGTGCTAAGTTTCAGCATCTCATCACTAGTGCTAATGCATGCTCTATTGATAGTAGACCTGTTGACATCCGTATTCTTGTTTTCATTGCGCGTCCTTGTTTGTCTACCCGTTTTATGTCTGTCTTTTTCCAAGTTTGCTGGCAACTTGTTCCGCAGACCTGTCAATATGACAATGATGTTACTCAGCGAAACTACAGCATCCGTGTTGCACGTAACACATACACACTTATGATCCGACTTGCTGAGTCTGTTGTATGCAGTTGCTGTGAGATCTGTGCACGCTTCATGGAACCAACCTTTGCATTCATAGCACTGCATGCCAGATGTAACAGTGGCATACAGGTCGTTTGCATGGATTTTTCATGACTATGTTGATGTAAACTGTATTATAAATGCTAGCAAAAGCCTGAGATCGTTAAAAAATACACTAAAAAGCACACGAAAAACGGGCAAAAATGGTTAAAAACGGATGAGACAAACTGAACTAGCCTTTACGGGAAAAACTGAAAAAAAAGAGTAGCAAGCTGAGGCAAAACCACAGTTAACTATTATATTGGGTGAAACTCGAAAAAAGTAATCTACCGAACGTATAGCTTAAAATAGATTCCTTAAACCAAAAATGTTACTTTTTTGCGTAAGAACACGGCAAAAGTTTGAGAAATGCATATCACGTTAGAAATAAACTTACTGTTCGAATGTATGGTGATGAAATTTATCTTCGTATAGATTACCTCCTAACCCTATGACTCTTTTATCATGATACATTACTACTCGCCCCAAGAGATACATATTAATAT